GGGGAGGGATGGAGGGAGGGATCACCGTTGCTACAAACGCGAGGATCCCTACATCGGCCGTACTTCACCTTTCAAATAGTTATAAGGCATGGAGAAAATGCCAGGTCAGACAGCATGTAGCTGGAAGCCACCGATCATGCACCTGTCCGAGGTGGGGCCCAGGTCCATTCAGGCACGGACAAAGGTGTTGCCTCCAAGTTACTGAGGAGAGGCATTGTACTTCCCCTCCCCATTCTCTCCAGACTCTCCTATCGTTCGATTGCTCGCGTCTGTCTGAACCTGAACTCTGCCTCGGACTGGTGCATGATCTGGACCTCTTCAGCTATGTTCTGATGTGGCTCTCCAAACTCTCCTATCGGTACACACTAAGGCCACATCAGAACATAGCGGAAGAGGTCCAGATCATGCACATGCCCGAGGCGAAGTCCAGATTCATTCAGCCACGGGCAATTTTGTCTCTCTGCTTGTTTCAAGTCACTGGGGACAGGCATTGTACTTCGACGAAGATCAGCAGTTGAGAGATCCCTTTCCCTTTCCACCAAGCAAGCAATCCCCATCAAAACCATGTCCTCGATGGGAGTTGGCTGTCGCTTCATCCAGCCCCCTACGGACACCCATGATACATTAGCAGTGCGAGAGCTTTCCCCCCCCTCGCAGCCTAACCCTCCCCCTTCTCCTCGTCATCACCAACCAGCATCATTATCATCTTTCCAATCATGAAATCCTCGTCTTTCAAACAGAATGTAGGAAAAGAGATATACATTGAAACAGAGCTGAACAAGAACTCCTCACTCAGTCACGTGGCAATCAGACCGCAAACCCCGTGTCACATGACAACCTAGCGAACGGACGACTCCGCCCGTCTTCCTACCCAGTACCCGATTCTCCCCTTCGACAAAACACCAAACATGTGCGCATCCGGAGAACCAAAAAAATGGCAGCAAAACACAAAACCCTTCTTTTCCAACCCTGTTCGTCCAAGCTGACCTGTACCCGCCCTCAATCCTCCACTTCCTTCGAGATTCGCAATCACAGAATTTTGACTTTAGTGGAGCCAGGAGGGAGGGTATGCCCGGGTAGAAAGAGTCCCCCTCTCTCCCCCCCTCCCACATCTTCCTCCACTCTCCCCACTCCACCCACGACCTGACCGACGAAGGACGGAAGGCACGGTACCACTGCAGTTCCTTCGAGATTCGCAATCACAGAAGTGGACTTTAGTGAAGGCAGAGGAGACGGTATGCCCGGGTGGAAAGAGTCCCCCACTCCCCCCCCCGCCCCCTCCCCCAACATCTTCTTCCACTCTCCCCAGCCACCAGCTGACTGACCAATGACGGAAGGCACCGCACCACTCCCCTCTTCGCCGGTAGACAGATAAAGAGACAGATAAAGAGACAGATAGATAGGTAGACGTAGTTCACAGATGAATAGAGAGAGAGGCAGATAGACATAGTTTTTCCGCATAGTCTTAAGCTAGTTTTTCGCATAGTCTAAGCCGGAGGACAGACTAACTACAATAGCAGACATATGTGTAAACAAATCCAATCCAACGAATAGCATCCACTGCCGTCCCCAGGATAGTGGCATGTGAAGGATGTTGAACAAAGCACAAGAACAGAACGGGGTTTGTGACAGACAACTCAGACTACAACAGGGTTTTTTTTTAGCGTCCTCTGGATCAGAACAACGCGGACTCCGAGGTCAACGACAGCTATTCACACAGATCCGCCGCCGTGGCAGTGACGGTCAGCACGGCTACATACGATTTTGGATTCGGTTTGTGTGTGCTGGATGCAGGCCCGTAACAACGCAGAGCCAAACGCACAACCGCCCTTTTCATTAAATCAAAGCTTTGCATTTGAAATTCGCTTCGGTTGCTGCTTCGGGTGTAGACCAACTAACTACACGCACAGACACACGCTTAATTGCCCCCACCCCGTCTTCCAAAGAGGAGGAAGGAAATTCAAATCCCATGCATCGCGACTATGCAGGCATACGGTGCAGAAGTCCCGACCGCTTCAGGCCATGAATCTCCTTCTTCCCCCGGCCCCCGCTACCCATTAGCACAAATGGCAAAATTATTGGGTACCAGATCCACTTTCCCGCCTATACACGACGTCACAGATGGCAACCGTATGGGGTACCACACACCCGTCCCCCTCTTCATCATCAAGGGGAACAAATTAAGGATACACCCTTCATGAGATCACGCATTCTTTTTTTTTTTTTTTTTTTTTTTTTTTTNGTAGGATCTTTCCCCTTCCATTGTAGTCTTGCCTGCTATTTAGGGAGGCAAGCAGTCTTCCCTTCGCACAGACCGGCAGCAAGGTGGCATGAAAATCGACGAGCTTGCATAGAGTCCGCCACAAGGGTCTCCGTCTTCACGACGAGTCCCGCGGAAGAACCGATCCATCCACCGACTCACGCGTTCGCATATTCCTCCATGAAACACAGTTAGCTCGATGAGATGGTATTCTCGGAGAATCCGGTGTCACGGAGGCGACGCGTGGAGCAACCCCCAAGTTGAACGTTCTCTGTGAAAAAAAAACGTTCGCTGAGAGAGGCAAATGAGAGCGTGGAAGATTCGAGTCGGGCGGAAGTCGCTGACTTGACAAATGAGCGGGGAGGCACAAGGAAGATGGACGGCGGGAAATCAAAGTCACTTCGAATTCCCGCCTTTCCTCGAGCCGCAAGGAGCATGGAGAGAACTCAAGTCGCCTTATGAAGAGAAGAGAGGAAATAGAGGGGGGGAGCAAGGTAAAGGGGGTGACAGGCATGAAGGAAGAGGAGAGAAAGACGAAACCGTGCCTCTCTGGAAAGCGGAAGAAAGAGAAAAGAAGGAAATCACTGAGCTGTTGCTGCTGCGTTTCAGCAAAAAGATACACAAACAAACAAAACTCGAACTCAATATTTCCTGAGCTCCCCAACACGAAAAAAAACAACAAAGAAAAGAAAAGGGTGCGAAGAGGGGATCCGAAGCGGGACGTGTCCTGAAAGCGGAGGGAAACTTCTATAATCGTCTTACATGCGGTGCAGAAAAGGAAAAAAGGAAAAGAACAATTGCCAGGTGGAGAGTTCGTTGGCTGGGGCGGCGCATCTGTTAGAAGATAACGCGGGTTTCCCCTGTAAGATGAGCTCGACGAAAACTGAAACCTCGTGTGGAGCAAAAGGCCAAAAGCCAAATGAAAAAGGGGGCAAAAAAAGACAAATGAGGACGATACCGTACCTTTCTGTTTTAAATATTTTCGGCATTCCTCTCTAGTCAGCTGCTGTATATCGACATCCGTCAGCTCCTCGAGAGGCTTCTCTCCGGCACGATCTCCAATGGCAGCAAACGAACGCTTCCGGTCCTCTCTTTCCTCATCTCTGTCGTCCTCCATACAACAATCGCGATCCATGTTGTCTCCTCCTCCTCCTCCCCCTCCTGCTGCCGCTGCTGCTACTGCTACTGCCGATGCTATTTCTTTATCAGATCCTGCTGATACCCCTCCATTGAATTTCGATTCAGAAATCGGATGAGGCAACCAATGCTTAGCGAAGAAAGGCAGTGGGGGTGTCGGGTCATTGTCATGGAGAAGGTTTACCCGAAGGGTGCCCTGCCGTGCTGGAGGTTGTGACGGGTCGTTGTCATGGGGGGGCGGTACCGACGGCAGACGGACAAGGTTTGCGCGAGGTGTGCCCTGCCGCGCCGTTGTTGTTACTCGTCCTCCTTCGCCCTCCCCTCCCCCTCCATAACGACTAACGCCGTAGTCTTTCGTATGAGCCCACCCACGACCACCCCGTGGTTCTCCCCGTGCTAAACCTGCACCACCTCCATTCCCCGAGGATACCGCAACTCGCATCGGCGGAATCGCATTTCGTGGCCCTCCCGCTGTCACCGCACCTTCCCCTCCTGAGAGGCCGTTCCCCTCGCTTTCTCGATTACTTCCATCCGCTGCAAGTCCCAAGAAATCGACGGCGACAGGAGGGCAGTCACGCACCATGGCGATCTTCTTTCGACAGTCTTCTTCTGACTATCGACAGATTACCCTTCCAACTCTCATGCTACGCCTCCCCCGCCGTTCCTCTCTTCGCTTTCCCGACCGGTAGTAATACTCACATTAAGTTTGCCGTCCTCCCTCTCTTCGGGCTCACCACGCTGCTCTGCCACTTGCTCTCGACAGAGCGATCACCGCATCACGTTACACCCTCCTGTCCGCCTCGTACTCCCAACCCAACCCCCTCTCCTCCCCTCTCCTCCCCTCGCGTCCTTCGCTCCCCCCCCAAACCACCGACACCTCTCCCTCGCGTCGTCCCCACCATTCACCCACCGACGACCAACGCTTGTCACCGAGACCCTCCTCCTCCTAAGCGGTTTGTGATCGTGCAACCGCATTTTTTTTTAACCCCGTCGGGAAACGCCGACGAACGTGGTGGCGGCGATTCCATCTCGCCTGCCTCTTTCCCTTCTTCGAGCTCCCGGACCCCCGCTCAGTCCTCCGGAACATCCCTTAACATTGCAGCCGCTGGTCGGTCAACGCTTTGGGCTGGCCTTTGAGCACGCACGATCCACACGTACCGAGGATGACGCATATGCATCTCCCGGCTCTCGGCGGTGCCTGCAATGAGTAAATGGGCATGCCGGCTCCCGGCTCTCGGCGGTGCCTGCAACGAGTAAATGGGCATGCAGGCTACCAGTTGCTAGGGTGGCCGAGCAGGCGTCGATTTGTGACCAAGGCGGGGAGCATTCCTCAGTTTGTACTCGATGCAAACTCTCGCCACAGATGCCGCCCATCATTCATCAACGCACACACGCGGGACATGCGCCAGGCGGGCATGCCTGCACTACTTTTTGGATTTCATTTGGCGGGGAGTGCGGCCGATGACAAAGGGGACCAGGAGCCGCAGGCAAGGCGCGTTGGTAGACTACTACAGAGGCGCCACCAAGCTGTGCGATGCGAAGATTAGATCGATATGTGCGGGAACTTGCGCTTGCGTATAAGGGGAAAAAACGGGGTAAAAAAAGGAGGACGAACGGACGGGAGCTGAGCATTGCACGGATGGGAAACGGAACGAGATTTCCCGCACAGCAGAGAGAGATGAAGCGCCCCCTCGTCAAGACGCCAAGGGGTTCGGAGCATGTCGTTGTTGCTTTCAGTTGTCAATGCAAGCGACAGAGCCCGGGGTGCTACTTCTTTTATTTAGTTTTGATTAAAAAAAAAAAAAAAAATCATACTTTTTTTCGATGTCTTGACACGTGGGTCACTTCACTACTAGTAGTCTAACGCACGGACGGCGGTAACGTTCGATCTAGAAATCAGAATGCCCGCCGCGTTCATTCCCCCAGCGCAAGGATCACACGCATCCCGTTCATGCCGCTCTCTTCGCGTTCTCGCTGGCCGGGAGAGGGCCAGGCGGGATAGGCGGGTGGGGAAGAGGGCGGAAGAGGCGGTTGGGCACTCAAACGATGTCCACGCGGAGGCGAGAAGAGAACTGCGGGTGATGTAGCGTTCGGCGGGGGCGGGCGGAGGGGGTTCTCAGCCTCAACGCTTCGGAGTCGCATCCCCAATCGCTGCACCGCCGCTCGCTCGGGCGCGCGACGCTCGCTTATCTGCCGACGAAAATCGAGTGAGGTACTGCCAAGCGGAGCGCCGCGCGGACGTAACTGCGGTGCGCGCAGGTAAATGCAGAATCTCTTGCGCCAAATTTCAGACGAAAGGACAAATGACGACGTGGTCCAAACGCCCCAGAATAGCACTGCCGCGCCCACCGGCTCATCCCCCCCAGCTGGATCAGGGATCAACTCTGTGCGTCGGATTTGTGATAGGCTGCATCCTTTCGTGACAACGCGGCGCAGAACGAACTGAATGCTGCCTCTGTCGCTGACAGCAAAAGAGCCACAGCGTGCTGCTGCAGAATCCCATACTCCCCCTACTTTTTCTTCCACCCAAAATCTTGATGCTGGTAGGCCCTTTCTTTATATTTCGATAAAACGAGTTGGGAGCACTGCCCAGGTCCTCCTGAACGGGGTAAAACCGATCCACTCAGCCCTGCCTAATCCTTGGAAAAGGGGCATTACGGTCCAGATGCCTACTATTCTGGGAGGCATCCACACGTTTCCTTTTCCATCGGGCAGCCAAAAATGTGGCAGTGGTAGAACTGCACCGCAATTGTCCTACCACTTGTCGCGACCGGCCTTTTCCTTACCACAGTCACACCAGCAGACACTGACGGTTACCAACCCGTTCCGGTAACAGAATCTTTTCCTCTCATTCACCTAGTCAGCAACCCTTCTTCACATACGCACATTCTCAACATCTACGGTTCGTACCTTCCACTCACTATTACTATCACTGTATCCGGACCAAGATTCAGCATTCTTTCATCACAATCGGTTGGAGTTCGGACCGGACCGCGGACTGCGAGCCATTGGGATCGACTGGGACCAAGGACTGCGAGGCATTCAGATCAAGACCAGGGACTACGACTTCAGGTTGGACTTCAGGTTGGATTTGGGACCTACAACTGCAAGGCAACCAGACCAGGACCAGGGACCAAGGAACTTACCCGGGATTCATCTGGACGTCAGAGGCCTGTGATGAGCCCCCACCCGTACTTCACGCTTTCCGTACCCTCGAGGATAGACCCTCCGAAAGCCCCAAAGTGCGAATACGAACAACGGGGGTTTTCTTTTTGCTTTCGTTTCTGTTTTTCTTGAAACGGCCTTTCTTTGAACTGGTAGCTGGGAATAAGTTTCGCGCGGCCGGATAGCGGGCGCGTCGAATTTCAAGAAACGGGTAGGACTTAGTGGGAAAGAAAATGGGGAATTTCGGATTTTTGCATGCGCGGCTGCTTTTTCGAATTTTCGCTTGCCACGCAAACTCTTTCTCTTGCTTCGCATCCCCGCGCCATCTTTCTTTCTTGCTGCACGCGCTTTCTTCGTGCAAGGACTCTTCATCTTCCTTTACGCAAGCTCGACCCCCGCCCCGCCTTTGGCCGAGAACGATTGGCTGAGTAGTTGGGATGCTCAGATCAATGTGGAAGGCGCGAAAATGCGCGCGCCACTTGAACGACCACCCCAATCACACAGGACCAGAAGACTTCTCGACATCGACCCGTCTCAAACCCCAGCCCTTCCCTTCTCCGCCTCATCTACAACCCCATGCTCCCCGCGCCCTGCGCTATAAATTCGCACAATGTCACGATCCACTTCCCGACCCCGTGCTATCTTCCGTACCCCTTGACCCAATACCCCCTTGGTGTATCATGCTGACCCCACAGAACCCTCGTCGCCTTTCTTGATTTCAGGCGCCTTGTTTGGGCCCCCATTTTTCGGAAGTTCTATTGATTCTTGGAATTCTGCTTTTTCTAATTCGGGAAATGCACGGGAAATTACGCGCGCCTTAGCGAGCGCAATGGGAATCGGGCTCGACAGTTAGGAATTACGGAATAAGCGGAGCCCGACGTATCTTTTTCCTTGCATGAATGTTCTCGGTCACGACAGGAAAACTTTAGGAATTTTGTGAGAATACGGATAGGTGTAGGAATTTATTTTCCCGCGTCGACTTTCTCGTGCGGATATGGTGCTTTCAATTTTTGAATTGGTTTTGGGCATAGGCAAGCTGTAACTGTTTTGGTGCTTTTTTCTCTTGTTGTCGGCACCGCGCATGCGAGCTTCCTCCTCCTTACTTCTCGCGCCACTCTTCTCCCGCGCTCTCTTCTCTCTCCCTTCCCCCTTCTCTTCTTCTCTCATCGCAACTGTTTTTCCCTCTTTTTCTCTCTCTTCACT